CTCTCTCTCTCTCTCTCTCTCTCTCTCTCTCTCTCTCTGTGTGTGGGGTGCATTTATCCAGAGGTAACCTGAGCAGGAAGTCGCTCTGAATGCCTGCATGATGTCACATCCTGTTTCATGGAGTCCCCCCCCCCTGCTGTGCATTCTCTGGAAAGAGGCTGTTATTTGCAGCGTATAATTTAGTATAGCGGTGTTATTTTTTTCAATGTCTTTATTGTGGGCGTGTACCACTTACACACCCAGTGACCACCCCTCACACAACGAACTACAAGGTAACTGGTCTGACAAAGGGAATCTGTAATACTTAATGTTTAAAGTCCCCTTTGCACGTTTTTAAACGGCCATCCTCTCATTTAATCCTAGCATCGTTTGTATTTTCTGATTCTCCATTGTTAAGAATAGAGTTGTGTTACATGTGACACGTGAAAGTGGGCCAGAGCCATTTGCTGGTGAAAAGTCAATATTTGGCAGTGATTTTGCACGTTTGCAGGAGCTGACCTTGTTCGCTGCAGCCAGGGAGCTCGTGGTGTTTGGTCCTGGGTGACAGAGAGTTAAATGAGCTCTGTTGTCTCCTTTTTTTTTGGAAAGAATGCCGTCGCATAAACAAGAAGAGGGGGCTTTCAGGAGAAGATGGAATCTGACACAAGCAGAAGGAAATTGATGTATGTGCAGCACTTTTTGCCGTGCTCTGGACTTGTTAAACTTTTACTGTCTTCTGCCCCTTTTTTGACGGGAAAGTCCCGTTCATAAACACAGAGTGCTGGAGAGAAGATGACTGCTTTCAAGGGATAATGTTGAGCGTACAGAATTTCCCTTTCGCAGATCAAACGGAGCACTTTTCATTTTACCTGCTCATTAATTCGCCCGGTGTCTTGGAAGCCCTATCGAATTAATTAACCTCACTCTCGCTAGTCAAATGTATCCTGCTCCCCCCCCCCTTGCACCAGCCTCTTGTATGCAGTGCCGTTTGAATAAACCCCCACGGTTTACACAGCTGCTGGAAATTTCCTTTAAAGGAAGTGTGCTGGCTGCTGAGCGGGCCTCGGCTTGGCGGGCTGGCTCAGTGAGCGCGGTCTTCCTCTGGCGCTGCAGTCGGGATGCCTGGCTGTAGCGACAGCGAGTGGCTGTCTTTATTTATTCCCGTCCAATATGCTGGTGTGGCGGATTTTAATAAAGCCATGTAATGGCAAGGAAAACCTTCATTGACATTGCATGCTGCAAAAGAAAGCAGTATACCCTGGGCATATAAAAAAAGATCATTCAATTAACCTTCACTACAGCTGCTATTTTAACTTTCCTTTGTTGTGGCCTTATGCTATCTGCAGAAAATGAATATACATTCATATTCTCATTAAATAAATGTCCAAAAACCTAATAGAGTGCTGCAGGGATGACGTATTTTTGTAGGCCGACCCGGATGTTAGCGTCTCACTGGTTCACTCGACAAGAAGCCAATGGGATCTTTCTATTGGATGTTGGATTATTGGAGAAAATAGGATCTTTGGCAAACACAAGTTTACGACACGTACAAGATGATCTTCACAAATGAACACCACTTGTGTGGTTTTTGAAGCGTGAACGCAATCGTCAAAAGTAAAAAGCTAATGTTAGGCTACAGCACGGTCACTTCAGCGAGAGTACAAACATCCGGGCTGTGAAGGCGGACGAGTCAGCGCGATGACCTTTTGTAGTCCGATACATGTTTGAGATCTTAAAACTAAATCTCTCTGTTACCATCTCTGTAGCTTGTTAACCGCAGACCTTATTTAAGGCATCTAACCAAAACAAAATAAATAAAAAGACATCGCTTCCTCTGCTGCTGAAAGTGAGGCGCTGCACGGCTCGTTACGGTTTTATTACTGAATTATGATTTGGAAGCACTTTTTCTGTTCTGTCCATGTGAGGAAATCACTTTTGAAGATCACGTTATAAATGCCAGAAAAAGCACTAAAGTAACGGTGAAACAGTAGACCCTCCCTTCCCCCTGAATATTTGAATTATCGGTCCAAGCTGGAGAAAAAGATTTGACTTCGACATTATTCTGGAACAGCCCTTCTAATCAAACTCGTTATACAGCATAACTTTATTATCTTTAGTTCTGGCGACCTAGTTACCTGCTAACTGAGGACCTTTTGTTCAAAGTACACGGTTCCCATCTTCTCCCCTGGGCCACTGTGACGGTCACAAGGTACAACTTAACCAGCAGCAAACCTGCAATACGAGTAAATTGTATTTTAACACACTACAATGTTTAATCTCTCAAATTAAATGTGATTTGCTCCCATAAACCGCATGCAGACAACTGGCTTTTTTCTTATATGACATTTTACAGTTCACTCACTCGGGCCGGTGATTATTATAAACCAGCGTTAAACTGAGGTTAAAGGGGTAAAACTTAATTTGTTGGTTTAGTCTGACTCACAGAGCAGCAGGGCTGGCAAATATTTTACAGTCGGTCGAAGCCAATTATGATCCGATCACATTTCTGTGTAGTGCTTCAGTTTTTGTGACAGATTCATGACCCCCGTCCCATCAAAACAAGCAGCCACAGCTCTGACCGACCATGACCAGCATCTCCACTAAATCCACCACCATAACTCTGAGTCTGATGAGTCTGGTTCTCTTTGTAACCGGAGCTCCTCCTCTTCCCTCTCCACACGCTGGGCCGAGACTTGAACCCCCGGATCTTACCGCGTCTCCTCGGTCCTGCTGTTCTCGTCAGCTCGTAGCTTCTCTAATTGAGGCTGACATTTTTATCGCATGTATTTCACCCACTGTTTGCACAAAAACCACAGTCTCTCCCCTCCTGGTACCCATCAGCCTTCAGCGCATAACATTCCCTTTCTGCCTCAAAGAAATGTTTACGCCGATTCCCGCATGTTTCATCGCTGGACCAGCTGAAACATTTCTTTTGAGATTGCAAGATAAATGTGTCTCTGCCCTCTTGGGGAAATATTTATCACTCTGAGAGTGTGTCTCGTGAAGGATCCTTTTGTTCTGACTTCTTTCTTCATCTCGCCGTCCTCCTCCCTCTTCATGAAGCGTTGCCTTGTTGGCAGCGGTGGCCCGTGTTGTTCCCCAGCCACTCTTAAAGGTCAGGAGCAGCTCTTTGGCTGCAGTGCGTACGACCGCCTCCTCTTTGCACACTGAAGCTTTTGTTCAGCAGCTCCTTGTTACCCTCCGCTCGCCCCAATCTGAACAGCCACACTGCTGATGGTATTGGATTACAGTCAGTTCCCTCCAGGCTCTTGCGGACATTTTGTGATTATAACTGCTCCAAAAAATGTTTTAAGTTTAAATTGACTTCATCAAATGGCTCGTTTAGTACGGCCAACTGTCTTCAACCCACAGATATTTGATTTACAGTGATGGGAAACAGGGAAAAGCAGCAAACATCACATTTGATATATTAACTTCAGAAAGGACTCAAGTGTTTGATAGATTAAAAACACTGACAGTCGTGCTACCTATAGTAGCTACCTGACGCTACACTTCCAAAGCCAAGAGTTCATGATTACTTAACCTCACTTTCTGAGTGCAGGGCTGGTTATCTTCTGAAAATCTAACACTGATGCCATACAATGCACGTTTTATACCAATACTAAAGGAATACTGTTTTGATATCGTACTTTGAGAGGTATAAACATAGAATAAGCAACTAGCGTTATGACTCTGGGCAGGCATTTGTACTAGATGTTATATTTTGAATGGATGCTGCTGTAAAGCTGTGTTAAGTGTTCAGAGTCCTTGTCTTAGAAATGTTTCAAATGGAGCTTTTGGGTAAAATGTTACTGTAGCTTATATGTAGATGATGGGTGCTTGTATGTTAAAGGTCTTTTAAGTTGCATCTCTAATGATCAAAGTCTATGTTGGCGTTAAAGATCGGACCTGCATGAGAAGATTAAGCCACCATTAAACATTTGAAACTCATTTTTCATGGAGTAATAAAGTGGAAAAATACATCAGTTGTCTGTTTGCTTCTTTGAGTGGAATGAAATCTGTGCTTTTGATTTTGGTTTCTCCTCCTTTGTTGGAGTGCACATTCATGATGACTGTGGGGGTTTGAAATCGTCCTTCCCCTCTCCTCCCTTCCCATGATTCTCTGATTAGATTCCTGAAATGCAGACGGGAAAAGAATTTGGGAGGACAGAACTTCCACCCTGTCTGTCTCTTCCTTCGCCTCGTGTTAACTTAAAAAAAAAAGAAGAAAAATAGAGGGGGTTAAAGGGAGCCATTTCCTGTCCTGAATGTGAAACATGTAAAGAATGTTTAACCGTGAAAGACTGCATGAGCAATGGAGTTGATACACATCTGGAGATTGTGTCACGTTGTGCCTCAGTCTGGCATGAAAAGGGGGATTAAAAAAACTAAAAAAACCCAGTCTAGTGTGAAATGCATCTGTGGAGTTCACTCCCACCCACTCACTCTGGCTCTGTCTTTGTCTTTCAGGGGAATCTGGGCTGGGGAAGTCGACGCTGATCAACTCACTCTTTCTGACAGACCTGTACTCCACTGAATACCCGGGTCCTTCAAATAGAATTAAAAAGACTGTACAGGTAATCTTTAGTCCACACCTTCCTTCTCTGAGTTTTAACAGTTGGTACACTTCTTTGTTCACTGACGTGACTCAGGCACTGATGGAAACCCGATCCCATAAAGCACCAAATGTTTGTCTGTTAACTGAAACATGATCACCTCCCTTCACCCCGACACCAACTTTACCTCTTTCAGCGTCTCTCGGCACTGAATCGATTCTGAGTGAGATCCTGTTGTGTGAGGTGATGTTTCAGCTGTAGCCACCCACGTGATCGTGTTGGTCAGTGAAACGGGTTTATCTGCTTCAACAAGCAGAGAGTTTGTTTGAATGCAAGGATGTGATGTAATGTCAAATTCTCTCTGCTACTGTTGAATGCTGAATGAATGAGGTTGTGCTTCAGTCAGACTGCTGTGAGTTTTTACACTTTGATCTGAAGCGGTATAGAAAGCTGCTACATACGATGTGTAAACAGTCGGGGGAGTTGCAGTGCATGGGTTCGGGTTAAGGCATAGAGTATAGCGTAGATGGCCAGTGGCTGTCCTTGATTGGACTCGAACATCTCTAACCACAATATATTTACTTCTCTCTGCTCCACAAGGTTTGTAAACGCTGATGTGAGCGCTTCATGTCGAAGGAGATGTGTTTTGTATAAAGAGTAGACTTAATAAGCTGTAGCTTCAGCCTTACATACATTTCATTTTCTACATAGTGCTAAAAAAAAAAAAGAGGTTGTCAGAATCTCGTAGCTGTTTATGTGTGGGTGGATTTAAAACCCTAATCCTAAATATTTTTATTACATAGATGTATGTAATGGAAGTTCGTTAAATGCCAGTTCATGGACACATTCCTTGAAATGTGCAGCACGACTCTCCAATGATTGATTGTTACTTCACACAGGGCCTATAGTTGGATCCATGTGTGTTTATAGACCTCCTCTGAAAGATGTCACCATTGTGTGATACACTTTTCTAATGTGTTGATAGAGTGTTTTAAAAGATTCATTCTGGACAAAGTTGAACCTTTTGTCTCTTGATAGGTTTGATCTATAACAGATTCACCCCAAGCTCAAAAGCTTTGTTTCACCAAACCCTGATAGTGAGTTATGGACCAGGTTATGGACCAGGTTATGGACTGGGTAGTGGTAGCAGTCTGTTTCAGGACATCTGATGAATATAAGTGCAATATTCACTCTCTTTTAGCTCTGTTTTGGTCTCCACCCACTAAAATAAGATGACTCTTTAGCTGCTAATGCTCCACTATTTTCACCAGCTAGTCACTTTGCCTGCTGTCTGTGTTGGGCAGGTAGTGTACAGTGTATCTGAGCTTCTTCTATTAAAACAGCTTCTTTCGTTTCATGTTACATGTGGTCATTTGATTCATTGCTCACATAAAAACCTCATTTCTCATTTAGCTTCTTCCTGTAGGAGATGCAGTCCTACGTAAACATGGAGTTGTCTGCCACAGTCTGAACTGTTTCACTATTTGTGATGACAGATTCTCTGTATTTTGAAGCCGACACGGCTCAGATGGAAAACAGTTGTGCTTTTCTGTCCATCAATATTTAATAACAGTTGTGCGGTTGTTTGCTGACGTTGCCAATCCACTGTGGAGCTGACCGTCCACTAATCACAGGGTTGAAGGTTTGATTCCCTGTCGGCTCCTCCTGTTCACATTTTGAAGTGTCCTTGGCCAGACATTTGGGTCTTGCAGTGCTGTGAGCGTCGGAATGGCTGAATTGTAAAGTGCTCTCTCCGTTAAGGTAGAAAATCGCTGCATAAGTGCAGTCCATTAACTAATCAAGTCTGAGTGTTACACTGTTATGGAGGAATACTTGAGCTTTGGAATCATATTTCAGGAGTTTTAGTGAAGCTGTAAAGAGCAATTTAACACCCTGTTGTAGCTTGAACACGCCCCCTCACAAATTCCTAAAACATTGAACACTTGCACACAGCAGATCATTGCTTTAGTGTCTTGAACGCATCGTAATGTATCTCAATGCAACCTCCGCTTTGTACGTTTAGCTGTTAGCCACCTTATTCAGCCCACTGGTTCCCAAACTTCTTCACGTCAAGGACCCGTAAACTGCCACAAATTCGACCACGGACCCCTGAAACCCCCTCAAGGACCCCTGGGAGTCCCCAGACCCCACTTTGGGCTCCACTGATTTAGCCAAGCAGGACTGTGCTAACATCAATGTCATATTATCTGGGACATTTTCTATTGTCTAGGTACGACGCAACGCCGATAAACTCGAGTCCTGATCCCCAACATGTGGTGCTGTAAAAGAAACGAGTACCGGCACATTTTCAGAATTTTGCTATCGACTTGGTACCGAAGTATCAGTTCTCCTGACATCCCCAACTCTAAAGGTATTGTTGTGATATCGGTCCCAACTTTAAGTATCGTCATTGGCACTAGTGATATGAAACTACACCCAGTCCTGCCCAGTAGTCTGCGAGGACTTTTCCCCAACCAGGAAGTACCAAATGTTACCGCTTTCATGAGCTCACTTCAGGTTGAATTAATGTCAAATCGAGCTCCAGACATTGAAGCTGCAGGAGTGACGCTGAATGTGCTGAATGTCCGCACAGCTTTACTTGAGCTTCCTTTTTGAAGAGTGAAAGCTGATACTGTTGGTGTGAAGGGGCTCCGGCAGGCTTCTCTCTCTCTCTCCTATCCTCTGAGTGTAGAGCTAGGGCTGGTGTACGGTAGATCAGCTGCATGGTGAGGATCTTTCCCTTCACCTGTTCCTTGTGATCTACTGCTTTGCTCTAAATCTGCTAATCCCTGGCAACACACGACAGGGCTCTGTCTGCTCTCGCCCCGCTGCTGCTTCCAATTTGTTTACCTGCCTATTACACCTCCTCCGTTCTTCTTAAAAGTTTAAATGAGAATTAGTCGCTGTGTGCTTCTGTTGGCTCCCAAACCGAATGCTTTGGGATTCGTCAAGTTTTCCAAAGGAAGTCAGCTAAAATATAAGCTTGTTGTTTATTCTTGCAAGGACCAAGGCGATAAATATGTAGAATAGATCTCTCTCCTCTCTCTCCTCTCTCTCTCTCTCTCTCTCTCTCTCTCTCTCTCTCTCGGAACCACAAAACTAAATGCATTTCAAATAACTGTGGCCACTTTCATTTCCAAGTCCTGCCAAAAGAATGCAATGAACCCCAGAGGGACTGATGTGTGTATGTAATGGAGTCCAATTCATTATTAAACAGAGAAAAAAAGAGAGCAAGAGGACCAGGCAGCCGGATAGAGCGAGTGTTCAGTGTTGCAGGCGACAGACCCGGCCAGATTAATCTGTTGTTCCTGGTTAATAAGGCTCAATGAGGCTGGAGAGCGAACCAGGACAGGGACTTGGTGATTAGCCAGCAGACTGCATTATGTACCGAGCTCAAACGTGTCCTGCCGATGCACAGACATGCCTTGTGTTTTGTTTTTTTTTTGTTTTTTTTTTATAACAGAGAATTGCTCCTTCCTAGAGATTACAATAACAAGAGAATCGGATGAAGTAAATGGTTTTTATATAAAGGACTCTCTTACTTTCAGCAAACACTGTGTTTCACTTCATCTAGATTAATAGCTTTTCCCACGAATTGTAGTTTCAGCCTCACTATTACAGAAGTAAAGACACTGGAGGGACCAACCAGAGGGAGCGGGGTGTCAGTCAATGGTTGTATTCATCCAATCTAACAACACAGAGGTGGCGCTTTCAGATCTGAACTCTTCTGATCTTCTGAGTGAACCTTTGGTTAATATTGATATAAATATTACCCACTCTTATTGTACTACAGTGATGTGAATTTGGCCATTTGTCTGTGATGAGGCTGTGATGTGATACTGTGCCAGTTTGCTATGTATGTTGTATTTTTATGCCCTTTGTAGTTAAATGTCACCTTTTCTTTCTGTCGATCTGTTCTTGTGTTTGGGCTGCAGTTGAAGTCTAGAAGTGCACCCAGACCCCATCATGTGTTGTGCGTTCTTTCCACTGTGCTGTCACAGTAAGTTAGATGTAAATAAGCCTGCAGTCCTGTGATGCAGGCAAACACTGTAGTGACAGTATGCATGTCTTCCCATTGCTTACGGTCCTCGTGTGATGTGATGTAGCCCAGTGTTGTTGTTCCTTTTTACCCACAGCTCACAGTCTGTGGGCAGCCTTTCTAGTTAACAGCCATGACTCATCCCGTTGCGTCGTAGAAGAGACACTGCAGAACTCTTCAGTGTTGTCCACTCAGCAGCCCTTCACTTTTGACTTGTTGTATAGCACCACCTTAGACACAGTGGTGTTGGTCATTATGCACGTGTGACGACATTCTTTCACGACTACGTGGTCATTAAAGTATTTGCAAATTCTTCTTGACAGAATCTTCTTTTCGTAATGAGCGACGTAGACCCAGAACGATCCAGTGACTTGCAGTAGCTTTCATTTTCACCCTAGCTTGTAAACAAATGAATGTATATTTCATATTAAATGTTATTCAGAAGGTCTTTAAAAGTTTAACTGTCAGTTCAGTGGCGCTTGTCTGGTCAGCCTAGCCTCCCAGTAGCAGCTCCAGAGGTCGGTGTAGAGACGGTCTGACTGTGACAGATTCCAGTGTGTGACGGATGCCGGTAAGTGGTGGGTGGGGGTCACGGGGGTAAGGGTCTGCTGTAAAAGATGTGCTGCAACAGTCTGTGTGATAGATTGAGGAGGAAAACCGTGGGAACAGACTAAGGACGGCAAACCTGCAGCCAACCAGTTCTAAACGGGCGTAGAGAGGATGGAGGCGGAGAAAGAAGAACCGGAGCAGTTCTGCTGTTTTAAAGAGACTCTTTGACTTTCCTTGTTTGAGGAGTTTCATTGTGAGAACCCGGCCTTGCTGTGTAACCGACATGTGGTGCAGCGACAGCCCAGTCATTGAGCGCACCACTGGCTTTCTGCGGTGCTACTTAAGTGGAAGGTAGCAGCTCCGTTAAACCCAAATGTGGCAAGTATTCCACAACTCGACTACGCCATCGCTTTACAGCCCTCGTAATTTGTGTCTCAAGTCGTCGGCTCAAGATAAATTTATGTTCCGAGTTGGACTGAAATCAAAGGTAATACTTTGGTGACGTAGGTATTTTAGGGAGCGTCGTAATGTCAATGTTTGTCTGCTCAATGTTTGTCTGCTCAATGTTTGTCTGCTCACTGCTGCGTGGACTTGGCTTGACCTCAGCCACACGGAGTGTTTCTCATCAGTTCTGCGTCTGTGATACCAGACCTGGTCTGGTTCGGATCTGCTGATTTTAAATGAAAGTTTATCTGCTGATCACGAGTTCTGCCTTGACTGAACCCAGCCCTTCTGATGTGTTCAGAGGCAGCTTCCGTCTCTCCAGTGCTCCTCTACAGAGTTAGTTCTGGTCTCAGTAAATAATGTATTGTAAACGGGTAAATTAAAGGTATTCGACTGTCTGTCTGGTTTGCACTTGTTTAAGACAGTGTTTGTGTTATTTGCAAAGATCTTGACTGATTTGTGTATAAATTCTTGGTCTCTGTAGGTGGAGCAGTCTAAGGTTCTGGTGAAGGAAGGAGGGGTGCAGCTCCTGCTCACCATCGTTGACACCCCCGGCTTTGGTGATGCAGTTGACAACAGTAACTGGTGAGCTCAGTCGTCTGTCGTTGGCTAATTTAAGTCACTATCACTGCATTGCTGTACCTGACATTGATGCGACTGATGTGTGATCCTCAGCTGGCAGCCAGTCATCGATTACATCGACAGTAAGTTTGAGGATTACCTCAACGCAGAGTCCCGGGTCAACAGACGGCTGATGCCGGACAGCAGAGTGCAGTGCTGCCTGTATTTCATCGCTCCGTCTGGACACGGGTAGGTGCTCCAGGGACCCTGCTGATCATGGGATCTTTAGAGTCCTTCATCCGTTCCTTAAGTGTTCATTGTTCAGGAGGTTTTTTTACCAGATTATCCGCAGAGGTCTCCTCTTCTCCAAAACAAACGAACCAGGTTATTAAAAGCTATAAAAAGTTTTCTCGTTAAGTGTTTCTCGAACGCTGTTCGGCAGACTCGGGACGTCCTGGAGGGTCTGCGAGCTGAGCTGCAGCTAAAGTTTGCTCAGCTTGTTTCTCTGATAACTTAAAGGAATACTTCACCCACAAAATGACCTGAATCTGAAAATGGAGTAAATCCTTCAATTGAAGTAAATGGGGGGGACTGCTTTTAACTACAACAAATATACAGTATATAAAAAAAATCAGTTAACAAACTCGCGCAGTACAATCCAAGTCAATCAGTTTTTGCCAATATCTTACTTTTTAAAACGCTACCATCTCATGCAGACTCGCAGCGTGCACGTGCAAGCATGACACGGTAGGGGAGTGTTCACAACAGGTTTTTTTACTTGAAATATTCAGCTTCAACTCATATTTGTTTGAAGAACAACATTTTTACTGCATTCAGGAAACTGTTTGCTGTCCCTCTTGCAGCACACAAAAGGAGGCATGCCGCTGTAATAACCGGGCAGTCTAGCAGCAATGTAACAGTGTGTTAGGTTCAGTGTTGTCCCCATGAAACACTCTCCTTATCAAGCTCAAAGGGACAGGCAGATGTGTTGAATTGGGCAGTTTAACGGGATTAAGTGTAAAACTGTGGACAATAGAGCAAGTGTATACAAAGGAAAATGCTGCAACATGACGCAGTATTAAGCAGTAAAGCTTAGCTTAAGTCTGTATGCCATCTTCCATGTTATGGGCCATAAGAACAAGGTTCAACGCAGATCTGGCTCCTTATATAAGCACAATAACGAAACTTTTTTTTGTTTTTCCATTTTTTTAAGGGTGATATTATAAAATATGACGACACATTGAAAGCTTCATTTGATAACTTCAATAAAGGCTTTGAATGTTAAAAAAAATAAAAAATAAATAAAAATAATGATGGACATTAGTTACAGCCCTTGAGGATTTTCAGAGTCCAAACATTTACGATGCTGTCTAGTCAATCCAGATGTGCAGTTTGTGGTCAGCCAAGCCCTGAAACATGACTCTGTGTGTGTGTGTGTGTGTGTGTGTGTGTGTGTGTGTGTGGCTGTGGCTGTGGCTGTGGCTGTTACACCAGAGCCCTTCACTGACACTCTAACCATTAAAATGTCTCTTTTCTTTGCTCCGTCCTCAGGCTGAAGCCCCTCGATATTGAATTCATGAAACGGTTACATGAAAAGGTGAACATCATTCCCCTCATCGCCAAAGCCGACACAATGACCCCGGAGGAGTGTCAACAGTTCAAGAAGCAGGTGTGTGTGTGTGTGTGTGTGTGTGTGTGTGTCACTTCTGACTGGACGTATATGTTTCCGTTCGTCTAGCATCTGTCAGGACTCAAATGTCATTGTTTGGTTGTAGTCTGTCTGTTAATGAGGAGAATGATTTAATGCCAGGTTTGTTGTCACTGTAGACATTTTGTGTTTCTGACCCCCTAACAAGTCTTGTTTATTTAGTTATACTTCACAAGCCCCATAAACAGAATACAGGAAGTACACGTCGCACTTTACCACCAATGTTGAAGACTCGCGTGTTGTATTTCAGTGTACATCACACTGCACAGACACTGTATGTGTATGTAGCATTCATGTGTGTGCTGAATAAACAGGTGGGTTCCTCCTCGTGTGTGTGTGTGTGTGTGTGTGTACGTGTGTACTGACTAGCCTCCAGTGTGACTATTGATGTTTCTGGACCTGTTTGTCCCACATACTGTCACTGTTTTTCCATTTCACCCTGCCTCTCCCTGTGTCCTCTCTGCTGTGTGCAGATCATGAAAGAAATCCAGGAGCACAAAATCAAAATCTACGACTTCCCAGAGACGGATGATGAGGAGGAGATGAAGATGGTCCGGAGAATCAAGGTCTGTTCTTCTAGATAAAACTGTGTGTGGGGTTTTCAATGCAGCGTATTTTCATTTGTCTCCGTGCATGTAAGCCTATTTTTAGCCATTGTGCGTGGGCTATGCAACAGTTGTCTCCTCCTTCCTCTCTCGCAGGATCGTTTACCCTTGGCTGTAGTCGGTAGTAACACCATCATCGAGGTCAACGGAAAGCGAGTGCGCGGGAGGCAGTACCCCTGGGGTGTGGCTGAAGGTGAGAGGTCGAGGGTCATCTGATCCCAGCCTGTAAATTGATCAACTAAGTGGATTCTCTCACTCACTCACACACACACACAAATGAAAACACACCAATTTTTCCACTGTTGTATTGGATTATTGAGCAGGCATCATGTGGAGATGGATTGCAAAGCAGCAACATAATCCATGAGCTCCTTTTTTGCTCTCATTCCAGTGTTCAACACACACACACACACTGGAGTGCTGGACCAAATCATTTTAAAAATAGCTTACAGCGTTTACATTTATTTTCTGTATAGCATTTAGTTTTGCACCAACAATATAAATGGCTGATGACATGACGTACAAATTTAGCCTATTAAGCATTTGTTTAAGCTTACATATGAATAAATAATGGACAAAAGAACTGCAAAAAAAAAGGTTAAAATTCTTTTAAAAAATGTCTATTTTTTTCATAGTAGTTAATTGCAGAGAACTGTTCATCATGTTTGTATTTAAAGGAGGAGAAAATGTACATTTATTATATGTACGGTCATAGATAAAATCAACTAAATTGTCTGCATACTTCCTGTATTTTCAAAAGAAGAAAACTATCTTTGCAATTTCATTTTCTGACTGATTAGGAGCCAAAATAGTGGATTTATTTACCACTTCCTTCTGTGGAAGAGTGTTCAAACAAACTTTATCACTTGCTGAATCTTCATCGGTGCGTTATATGAAAAAGAAAACATTCTTCCCACCAGTGGAGAAACTAGACGTTTCTCTTCAGCACAGGATGTGAGAGCCCCGTTTGACCCGACACAGGATGTAGCTGTCGCACTGTGGTGAGACGTATGAAGCATCGCTAACATACTCAGTTTGAAGTGATGAGTACACACAGCCACAGCAGGAATGTCAGAGAGCTATTTACTGTAGCTGTAGCGAAGAATTAGCAGCTTAAGAACCGAGTACAGTACAGCCTAGTGGATGACTTGTAGGAGTGCTACTATCAAACTGGTTTGCCGCCAGTGACGCTATCCATGGGGAGTGAGTTTTGGAATACCAAAAATGTTTTTGAGAGGGTGGGGGAGAGGGGGAGGGAGGGAGGGAGGGAGGGAGAGAGGGCAAGGACCCTGAGAAGGTATGCAAGTCACTCTACCACAGCAGTCCAGAGAATCCCCAGAGGGCTGTGGTGAGTTTTACTGTAGGAAGGAACACAAACGGCTGCACGTGATGCCGCCTGCTGATGGTTTCTGGTACTACAGACATCTATGTTGGTGCCACTGCAGGGCCTTAAAAAGCCTGATCAAGTCTCGAGACAAATTAGCCATGGAAACAATAACGAAAAGGATATCTGTGAGTAAAAGATATAACCGAACGCATCAATATATAATCCTGATAGGGTTTTGGGTTTACCCCAAAATAGGTGGTTCGTATTATCATCTGACTGCTGTGTTTGTGGACCTATTTGGACCTTTTTTTTCCCGTGTTCTAATCACAGCTCCGTCTGTCTCTTCTTACAGTGGAAAACGGAGAGCACTGTGATTTTACAATCCTGCGGAACATGCTCATCAGGTGAGCAAAAACATCTTCAGCACAGTCGAGGCTAAGAATCAGAGCCTAGTGACTCACTTGTTCTAAAAGTTTCAAATAAAGAAATCTAGTTGCTTCTTCTAGTGAGATGTACTTGTGCTTATTCGCCTCCCTCGTGTTGTGTTCCAGGACCCACATGCAGGACCTGAAGGACGTGACGAACAACGTTCACTACGAGAACTACCGCAGCAGGAAACTCGCTGCGGTCACCTACAACGGAGTGGACAACAATAAGAACAAGGGACAGCTCACCAAGTAAGTCCATCTGCACAGTATGCACACAACTGTGCTGTTTGGTTACATGTGAGGAGCACATTTAATAGTGTCAACTCTTGGGATAATGTTGCTGATTTGGCTGCTGGTTCCATCGGGACGCTCTGAGCAGCTCATTCACCGCGTAAACGTGGAGGAAACTACAGCTCTGACCTCCAGATTAAAGTTGGCAAGCTGTTACCGAAGCAGGCAAAACCTTTAAACCCATTCCTGGCCCAAACAAGCCGGCACTAACCACCCCACCCCCCACTAACTGGCCACCAGTATCTGTAGTGTTTGATTTGACTGTACTAACTGAGGCACCGTCTGACGCCTAATCCACCGACTGCAGCTGTCAGTAATCAGCAGCACACTCTCACAAGCTAATGCATGGTTCATGGCAGCATGCTAAGTGTCTGTGCATCTGTTTGTTTTTAGACCCGAGACGACTGACGGCATGTAAGTGTTACCTGAATTCTTCAAAATCTCTCCAGAGAATGCATTTTCACTTTTATCTCTTAATCATTTTTCCTTTTTCCCCCTGATTTCCTGCTTCGTTTATATTTCCCGCAACGCTTTGAAATGCTGACGTCTACCTGAATGAAACGATTAGAATAAGACATCACAGAATAGTCCTATCTTCTAAGGTTCTGCATAATGTCCGATATATCCAATCACTGTCATCTGGCTTGTCTTCTTGCTTTGCAGTTTCATCACTCTTTTCTCACGATCCAATATGGAAGAATCTTAACACTTGACACTATACAATTATTATTCTGGTTCTAGGAGCTCCTTTAGACATGCATACAGATCACGAATCACGACCTCTTGCCTGTTTAAACAAACAAACTAGCCAACAGTTTACAAGGCTGTGGTAGAGATGCATGCTCAAAAGATAAGCCCGTATTTTTTGCATGTAAATTGTTGAAAAAGATACTTTCACTAGCCCCTATTTACATTGTTCGTTAACATATTTGACACGTTTTACGTAAACAAACGAGGCAAGCAAGCCGGGCCTTTCCTCCTTCCCCGTCCTTCCTCTTCTCCTGCTCATCGCTCTGCAGTCAGAAAGGCCTTAATAAGTGGGGATGGGGGGTCACAATGTCCAGCTGTGTGGCCGTCCACCTGCCGCTGTGTGCTGTCTGTATGATGACTGGCTTGTGTCTCCAGGAGTCCTCTAGCCCAGATGGAGGAGGAGCGACGGGACCACGTGTCCAAGATGAAGAAGATGGAACAAGAAATGGAACAAGTGTTTGAGATGAAGGTCAAGGAGAAGCTGCAGAAGCTCAGAGACTCTGAGGCTGAGGTAGGATAATTATTATTTTTGTATGTTTATTAGTGCGGTTTTCCTTTTTTGTTGATGCTCGTTTAACCTCTTGGCTGCACGTCCGTGTCCCTTCAGCTCCAGCGGCGTCATGAGCAAATGAAAAAGAACCTGGAGGCCCAGCACAAGGAACTGGAGGAGAGACGTCGGCAGCACGAGGAGGAGAAGGGAAGCTGGGAGGCCCAGCAGAGGATTCTGGAGCAGCACAAACTAGACCTCTCCAGGTAAACAGCGCCACACACGATGATCAGTGACGGTTGAAATGAATCGAAAAGAAGGGTCGTATTGGCCGAACAAAGCGGTAGACGTCACTCAAACTTGAAAAAAGTCCTATAAAAGTTTCCTATAATATTTTGTGTCCTATAGTATTTTCTGTAATATCCATTGTGTCAGAGTTCATCTGTTTCAGGAAAGTCTGGACAGGATTTAGAATTCAGCATGAACAGAATACTGGAGCAGTGATTCACCTGCAAACAGTCCCTCATGTACACGGAAAAATACTTCTTTGCTCACGTCGTTCACTCGTATAATTAACTGACTGCTGTTGTCGGTGTTTTAAAGGAGCATCTGAGGCGTTTTGGACCGGGACACGAGAAAAAAAAACTTGTACTATTCTGACCAGCACCCCTTTGGGATGATATGACGATGCAGCAAAACGCTCGACATAGCACTTCAACAAATAGTAATTAAATCGGAGTCCCAACATAATACCCAACAAATACCCAGAATGTAAGTCCTCCAAAAGCCTCTTTTCTTTTCTAGAAGAGGCTTTGGGAGGATTTAAAAGATGCTGTATCAGCGACTTGTTTGTCCAGTGAGTGAGTGATTGTGTCAGAGTCAGATTTGGGAAGCAGTAAATGCTTATTACTGACAGACACATCCCCACGGTGTTTGTGGATGAAGGTTGTAGATTGTTGTTGTAGACTGCTGCTCGACTGCTCTTCTGTCCTCTTGTTTTCACAGGACCTTGGAAAAGAACAAAAAGAAGAAGATATTTTAATAACTCTGGAGGACCTTCCTGATTCGACAGCATATTTTTTTGTTTTGCCAACCTGCCAGTCTTGATTGTCAGAGCATCTGTCGATCAACTACATCCGCTGTTTGACCATATTACTGTGTAATACTCGTATGAAAGCCAGGGGGCAGTATGAGTTCCAACAGTCGTTCTCTGCTCGTCCTCATGTTCCTCCTTAAAGAACTGTAATAATCTCTATATAGAACCAGTGTGCAGTCCTGTTTTTGGGGTCGCTGCTCACAAAAACTAGTATATATTCACACAGAAAACACAGCCGGTGTTCTTACTTAATGACAAACAAGACGACGTCTTCCTTTCCTCCTTTCTTTCTTCTACTTTGGGAATGTTTGATGCTGCTCTGTGCTGCATCCTTTTTAATGCCAAAAACCAAACGAAGAAGTCGGGCTTTCACTTTCTGCACATTGGCAGACGGCGTCAGGCTGAGGCTCACCTCAGGCACTGTTTTTTTATACGTGTATATCTTTCGGTTCACATATTTAGGTATCGCATTTAATTTCTTCCCAAGTGGTATGCTCTTCCATCTCCTGTAATGTAAATTGTATAACCAAGAACATCAGTGTTCAACGTCAACCGTGTGTATCATGTTCTTGCTTTTTGCTCATTTTGTTTTTTTTGTTTTGGTTTTTTTTCCATTTTGTATTTGCCTGGTGATAGAACTTATGTTCATTTTGTTTCCGGTGTTTTCCAGCCTCGCTTTTGGAAACCAAACATGTATTCCTGACTTCACTCATGCTGAGTGTAACAACTTCTAGAAACTGCTCTCGGAGTGCTTTAACGTGAATTTATTTGAACTTCTTGTGCAGATTCTATTTTTTTTTTTTTTTTTTTTTTTTTTTTTTTTTTATAAATGATTTCCAACAGCGGGATGTGCAAAGCTTGTGCACATTTGGCACCGTTTGTGTACTGCATCTGTGTTTTGTAATGTCTTGTTTTTATTGTAAAAAGTCACATAATAAAATTGTGATGGGGAAAAATAACAGAAGAATTTGACTGAAAATATATACGTTACAGGTACATGGATACCCAAACATTCCACCCATGTGTAGTTATTAACCAGTGGGCATTCATGTGCTGCTAGAACAGCCCTCACTCCTCTGGTTTCAGGTTACCTGGCTGCAGAGATTTGCCCCCATTCAGCCAATAGTGAGGTCCACCACTGAAGTCTGGCTCCCAGTCAGCGTCCCAGTTAGCGTCCCAGTTCATCCCAAAGGTGTTGGATGTGGCCAGGACAGGACAGGTAGACATTGCGCTTCTATATCTTTACTTAGCAAATAGTTGTTTGCTGCTCTATGTAATGCTCTGAATATTGAATTTGGCATCTTTTAATGAAGTCCAGCAGCAGTTTTACCAGATCAGATCCGGTCCAATTCATTAAAAAACAGCCCGAATCAAAACCTTGCCAGACAGCTATATAATCCGTAAACTATTACATGCCCAATATCAAACATCCAATAAGATAATGTCAGATAAATAGGCTATCGCAACACACAAAGAGTGCAGTTGGAAAACCAAATACACAAACTCTTGTCAGTGATGACGTCAAGGAAAGTTGGTCCTTCATTTCCCCAGCAGTGATTGAAAACAACTCGTGTCAATCATATTCTTCTCAAAGTAAATGAGTCAATTATACGAGTTAGTAGACACAATGAATATTATATCAAACTCTGCCAAATGTTAACGAACGCATCCCAACACTGTCCAGCAGGTGGCAGCACAAGACTACTGACCTGCCTCCTGCTGACGAGCTCGGGACTTCCCGAGCCTTTGATCAGCTTTATCAGTGTGAACTTTAACCACAAACCAGCTGTCTTTTTCCTCTTAATGTACTTAAAACCCTCTTTTGCACTCAGTGAAGGATTCACCCTCGGTTTGTGTTGTCATAGCCTCTCACCTACTTATGGCATTCTGCCGAAAGGAGTCAGATTAGGCTTTATCAGGAACACCGTGCACCTCAGTCTGAGAGTCACCGAGGGGGGTGGCTGCCAACTTGGCACTGATGACACTGAAGTTTTTAGTGGAAAGTAAGCTCGTTTTATCTGGGTATTTTAATGGATTGTTCCAGTACGGTTTCTACGAGGGTAGGCCTACTCTATTACAATGGAGGACTCAAGAGATATTGAGGTGGACCTCCGTGCCTACATGTACCAGGGTGCATTGCACGCAAGCTTTGCCCCCCCAGTATGTAAAAATCCCTGCTCAAACCTATTTCACAGGAATTGTGTTGCTAGGAAGCAGCTTGGGTCCAGGTCTACTTCCTGTCCACAGTTTACGCAAACAGAAGATCAATGTGAGCCCGTTTAGTGAGGTCTCCCTACAGAAAGTCAATATATGGATCAGTTCAACAGTACAGTAATCAATCAAACTGCATCATATCCGTATTGAATGTGGAGTTTTATTTAAAAATGAAAATCAGTTTGCTTCATTTATTGATGTCACCTTAAATTGACTTTGCCTCCGGCTTATTCAAACAAAAGCTGGACCCTTTGGTCTCCCAGCTGGAAGTAAAACACACACACGCACGCACTCACACGGTGCTGTACTGCAGCATCACGCCATGACCTTCCATGCCTGCGTCAGCCCCTCGTCTCCCTGATTGGCCGGCTGTCCCCTCGGGTCTCCCAGGTGAAGACCCTCTCAGCCAGTTACAGAGGTGCTCACTAAAACCTCATGTGTCAGCCCACACGACACGACAAGAACTGGTCACTGGTTATCTAATTCTGCCTAAAGGCC